GACTCGATGGCACATAACAACAACAACAACATGGAATGTTTGTAGCTTGAATATTGTGAACCTGGAAATTGTTAAAAATGAGATGGAATGCATGAATATAGACATACTAGGCATTAGTGAGATATGATGGACCAGCTTTGGTCCCTTTGAATCAGATAATCATATGGTATACTATGCAGGGAATGAAAAACAGAAGAAAGAATGGTGCGGCATTCATAGTCAAAAAGTCAATTTCAAGTTCTATCCTGAAATACAATATTGTGAGAGATAGGTTAATATCCATATGCATCCAAGGAAGACCCATTAACACGACCATTATTTAAAACTATGCTCCTACATCTAGTGCCAAAGAGGAAGAAATTGAAAATTTTTACCAAATTTTCCAGTTTGAAATTGACCGAACATGTAATCAGGATGCGTTAATGGTAACTGGTGACTGGAATACAAAAGTAGGAAACAGTGAAGGAGGAACAGTAGTCGGAAAATATGATGACAGAAATGAAGCTGGAAACAGAATCACTGAATTTTATTTTTACAATGATTTAGTCATTGCAAATACTTTTCCTAAAAGACACAAAAGATGACTTTACACGTGGATTTCACCTGATGGTCTGCATAGGAATCAGACTGACAGAGGGGTACCTGTCAGGATTTCTCCGGAAACTGTCAGTACAGCATATTCTTTCCTTTTTTAAAAGGTAACTAGGAGAGGTGTTGCTGTCCCAGAGGGTGAGTCTCACGCGCCTATTCGTTTTGGGAGTGATGGGTTTGGCGGGCCAGTGATAGCTGCGCACCCGAACCCGAGAGAGGTCAGGCAGGTGGGGGGCACATCTCACTGAGGCTGTGGACTGTGGAGGTGACCTGCCCTCAGGCTGACACCATGAACAAGGTTCCCGCCTGGGCTTGGTGGGGATTTTTCAAGGCTAAGTGTACTTGGGTGACTCAGGCACCAACTCAGCGTTGAACAGTCTGGAATAAGTAGTGGGTCCTGAGAAGTCTGGAATAAGTAGTGAGTCCCGTAAAGTCTGGAATAAGTAGTGGGTCCCCTAAAGTCTAGAATATATAGTGCGTCCCGTAAAGTCTAGAGTAAGTGGTGGGTCCAGAGAAGTCTGCACTATACAGTGGGTCCCGGAAAGTCTAGAATATATAGAGGGTCCTGTAAAGTCTAGAATATATAGTGGGTCCCGTAAAGTCTGGAGTAAGTGGTGGGTCCCATAAAGTCTAGAATATATAGTGGGTCCCGTAAAGTCTGGAATATCCAGTGGGTTCCATAAGTCTAGAGTAAGTAGTGGGTCCTCAAAGGCACCTGTAGGCATCCTTTCCTCTGTGACCTGTGGCGAGAGCAGGCAGCAGGGCCAGGCACACTTGTGGTCATCTCCATGCAGCCTTGATGGCCTCATCTTCCCAACCCGCCGGCATACCCGACCGGGTACAACGAAGCTCCGGCCCCCGCGGGCCCCCCCGCCAGATCGCAGGGACCCACCTCCGCGCATGCGCGCCGCCGCCTTGTCCGCGCGCGCCGTTGTCAATAAAGTTCGCGCGCGCCGGAAGCGGAAGCGGCGAGTCTCCATGGCGGCGGCGGCGGCGGCGGCGGCGGCGGGGCCGGTGTTCTGGAGGCGGCTGCTGGGCCTCCTGCCGGGCCGCCCGGGGCTGGTCGCGCTCCTGGGCCGCCTGTCCGACCGCCTCGGCAGGAACCGGGACTGCCGGCGCAGGAGGTGAGCGGGGCCCGGGGCCGAGAGCGCAGCGAGCCCGGACCGCTCGTCCTCTCGTCCGGCCGAGCGC